TTTTACTTCTTTTAGCCTCTCTGTATTCATTTAGTTTATCATTGTTTGGTGAAGATCATTTGAACTTTTAACATAATCAGTCTGCCCAGTTGGAGTCGATGCCTCGTCTTTTTGGGTGGAGTTAATGGAGTCATCAACTAGAGATGAGTCAAACGTCACTTTTAAAATCTTTAATTTACATGGAGTAGTCTATTTTTGTGTGACTGCACAATCTAAATCTATACCTGTATGGCTAGGGTGTACCCGTATGACTAAGATATATAGAAATGTACCGACATTATAACGACCCACATGCTTCTGGAAAACTGATGATGAAGACGTATAGCGTTAATTACGAGACTTTCTCTGGTCATTTAGTATGATAATATGATGGTATAGTTGTACTTATTGAACTGAAACTCGTTCTGAAAGTCAGTTAACATGTTAAACAGGTTATTCACATGACGTTCATAAAAACATGAATCAGCCTCTTTAACAAAAAATATTTATGAATGTAACACATTTAAACTTTTATGTCACCCGAGTATACTTTGGTAGGTAGAATTCAACGAAACGTTGGAGGATCAATACCGTTGTCAAATTATAGATTCTTGCACCCCCTCGTGATTTACATGTAAATATTGTTCATATAATGTTAGTCTTAAAATTACCAAAATCAATTTTCCCACTTCCAAAATGTTCACCATCCTCTCTTCAGTGGTCTCTTACGTTGAAACCGGCATAGGTTTGCATTCCCCCAATCCGTTAAGATGCCAAGGTTTTCGGGTTCTTTTCCGTCATTTTTCAAAATCTTAAGCTGAAATTTTATCCACACTACGGTTAGATACTGATGAAGTTCGGGTATCGTCATGGTTGACCCAACTTTAGAGGAATCACGCTTATAGACAGTTTTTTGGATCGTTTTTCCTGTTGTGCTTCAAGATATGAACTCAAATATGTACCTTATCACATTCAGTCATGATTTATTAAGAGTACCTCGTTTTAAAGATTTTATGGAGGTTTTAACAATACTTTTAGAAAGTTGTTGTATGGCTTTATGTCTACTTCCACCCAGGATGATATCGCTTATTGTGCCCCTTTTAAATGAAGGAACGTTATATTTGAACACCTTTAAAACAGACATGTCATCAACACTTTTGGAGTTTAATTCCCCACCTTTTCATTTAGAAATGTAACAGCAATTGAGAAATTGTCACGAAAACTATAACGACGAGAATTGCCAGCGGATGGGTTTGAAAGGTTCACAAAATTTGACCTCATCTATAGGTCAATAAGGTGTCAGTGACATTAGGACATAAGGTGTGGGTCACCAGATGTCGCCATAAGTACTGGGAAATATGACCAGACTGACGGGTGTTATACACTGTTTCAAATATTTGATACTTGTCATTGATTTGTTAACATGGTGTTGAGATAATCACATTACTGGACGCAATGATCAGGTTTAATTGTCATTTGATACGTTGATCGTGTTAAACGACCTAATGAGAAAGAGAGTACAGTGGCAATCATCTTGTCTATTTTAGAACATTTGTTTGGTTTTGCGTTCCCTCTGTATGATGATATTGGCACAGTGGCGGAATGTATAAACGTAAAGATATAATGAGTTTACTGACTTTTAAGATACCAACTACTTTTGTACTACGGTATTATTTAATTAATAGGGCACTCTGACATCTTCAAAGAAAACTTAATTTATCACGTATGACTGTCATTCCAACGGTTAACCCACGCAGCGTCAAATTTCCACATTTCAGTGCATCTTGCCAAGGCTGCTCAGATTTCTATTTACTCCACGCGCGTCTATATAACATTTAAATGTAACACCGCCAAACGCACCCCATCCATTCTCCCCCCGAAACTATAATATGAAATATATAATATCTGAGTCCAAACTATCAACCAGACGGAAGTCAACTCGGAGAGAGGAGAAGCTTACACTACCTAGAACACCTGATGCTACTTTTTATTTATTTGGGAAGATCCCCTTGAAAGCTGCAATTATCCTGATGTTGACTTCTTTGGTAAAGCACCGTGTATGATGTACCTGCTCTTTCTGGAACACTCGATATCACATCTCTTTTATAAGGGAATTTCAACACTTTCTCTTGTAACTTTTATGAATGGAAGGGGTCCCGAAGTATTTAAACTACTGTATTTATGTTTTTGACTATGATGGGAGGGGTACGAAAGTCTTAAACTCAAACTATTGTTTTTATGTTTTTGACGATGATGTATCTGTAGCTATATAAACAGTAATAATATTCAGAGAATGCTTTTGGTGAGATATTTGAGGGATGTTCCTACTGTTGTCTAGTTCTTATAGTCTACTTTTGGTGAGGCAATTACAGGATGTTCTTACTGTCGTCTACTTGTTATGGTCTTCTTTTGATGAGGCAATTACAGGAGGATCTTACTGTTGTCTAATTCTTGTACATGTAGTCTACTTTTGGTGAGGCAATTACAGGATGTTCTTAATGTCGTCTAGTTGTTATGGTCTACTTTTGATGAGGCAATTACAGGATGTTCTTATTGTCGTCTACTTGTTATGGTATTCTTTTGATGAGGCAATTACAAGACGTTGTTATGGTTTACTTTTGATGAGGCAATTACAGGATGTTCTTATTGTCGTCTACTTGTTATGATCTACTTTTGGCGAGGCAATTACAGGAGATTATTACTGTCGTCTAGTTGTTATATGGTCTACTTTTGGTGAGGCAATTATAGGATGTTCTTATTGTCGTCTACTTGTTATGGTCTACTTTTGGTGAGGCAATTACAGGAGGTTATTACTGTCGTCTAGTTGTTATATGGTCTACTTTTGGTGAGGCAATTACAGGATGTTCTTATTGTCGTCTACTTGTTATGGTCTACTTTTGGCGAGGCAATTACAGGAGGTTATTACTGTCGTCTAGTTGTTATATGGTCTACTTTTGGTGAGGCAATTATATGATGTTCTTACTGTCGTCTACATTTCGAAATCGTAGTGAGTTGTAAATAAGAAACAGAAACGGATTAAAATGTAAGTTAGGGTAGCATGCATATCCCCGAACACTTCATCAGTGTGAGTAAAATGGAAAAGGGGTTGAAGTCTCGTGAACTTTCCGAACGCTAAACGTCGCTGTCAATATTCCCAATGTCAAAATGAACAAAGTACGTAAAGGTCTCCACCATTAAGTCTAAATTGTTATCGTTCTCAGGGATCCATAATTCGACTAGAATTCGTACATGCTACAAGCAATCAAATAATTTTTTTTATGATTTTCACGTTACATGTACTAAACAGCAAATCATTCTAGAAAACGAATTACTAAATGGATCAAAGCAATTTTTTTGTGAACAGTATATTGACACATTAGTGATTAATTCATCACAATTCCAAGACATTACCTGATAGTTTAGAGTCTGTACATCAGTATTTGGTGTGTCCACCGCGAGTGTCAATAACAGTAGCGCAGCGTCTGTACATGGAGTGGGCCAGACGATTGATGAACGCCATTGGCACCTGGAACCACACTCTCAGAAAAGCCTGGCGCAATCCGTCGGCTGTGTTTGGTCTCGGTACGACGTTATTAACATCCCAAAGATGTTCAATCGGGTTTAAGTCCGGACTAAGGGCTGGCCAGTGCATAACGTTGACACCGTTCTGCTGTAGAAAGTCCCGTGTGGACACGGGCGTTGTCATGCTGGAAATGTTGTTTCGATAACGTGCGAAATGTGGTATGACGTAGGGTCTGACAGCTTGATCGATGTAGCCTGGTTCAGGCCGATTCCACCCCAAACCATTATGTTTGGACCTCCCCATGAGTCTCCTGCTATCTACAGTTGATACGCAATACCGACTCTCATCTGTAAACACAACAATTCATCATTGCCTGTGTCGCCAGTTCTGGTGTTTTGGGGCAAACTGTAGACGTTCACGTCGATGGCAAGGGGTGAGGATCGGTCCACGGTAAGGTCTACGGCAATGGGTGTTCTCTCTCGTGAGACGTCGGCGCACTGTATCGGTCGGTACTGATGGGTCTTCCGTGTGTTCCCACTGTCTGACTTGCTGTCTGAGATGCCTGTGTGAAGGTATTCTGCTCGTGCTGTCGCACAACATGGCGGTCTTGTAGCCTTGCGGTAACCCTTGATCTACCAGTTCGGGGGCGATCATCCGTGGTGTTGGTGACCCGGAAGCGTTGCTGAAGCCTGTAGATGGCTCTAACATTGACCTGGAAGTGATTGGCAACGGCTTGGGCAGTGTGGCCAGCGTCGAGTCTTCCAAGCGCCTGGTTCCTCTGAGCTGTCGTGAGTCGTGACTGACATGCTGCTGATGTTGTAGTGTGAATGAATTAACCAGGTATGGGGGTGCATTTTATAGGGCTGGTCCCGGTGAACAGCACGCATAGCATGAGTTACATGAAAATCAGGGAGAACACATTACCATATCAGAAGTCAGGTTGCGTTTTTGAGAACATTTCCTTGGTTCAATTCTGTGTTTGGGAAGGAGATGTGGTCACAAATATACAATGAAAACATTTGGCAAGTTTTATGCAATGCCAACATACCAACCTGACGTTTCTTTTGCTGCTTAGTATATTAATGTAATGTACTTTCTATAACCACTGTGTTTTACCAGTGACATTTATCCTCTGAATCCTATACGCGTGGAGGTTAAAATTCATATAATTCCCTTTCAAACGAAAAAAAAATTGATTTGTTGATAAGTTCACGTGATCTGCTTACCGTTTATAAAGAAACGATTTCATACATGTATGTCAATGTACTATAGCTAAAGAAAATATAAAACAAAACGCAATTGCCACGTGAATATAACGAAAGTGTGCTTCTTGATAGGTACTTTGCTTTAGTTATATGTAAGTAACTGATACACATAGTAACTTATAATATATTGTTACTTAAACAACCTATACTATATTTATCATATCTATATGACTGTTTATTTATGTCGACTTCCACACATAGTTTATTTTACTGTTTATTTTCTCTTTCTATAGGTACAGAATGTCGACACGATACTTATGTCGAATTATCAGCCAACTCAAAATCCAAGTTTATATACTCACCAAACTACCCGGAACCCTACCCAGCGTACGTACTTTTTTTTTTACATTTATTTGAATAAATCTGTTAAGGGGGATCGGGGGGCTTATGTGATCACCGACGATCGGTTATCTTCACAATATCAGATGAAAAATACTGCGATGTTTTCACCATTGACTGATTTATAGTTGTTTATCTTTTAACTGTAATATGCACATACAGTAATGCACCTATTGCTGGCCGCATCCAATCAACACCCTTAGGTCATTAGATCGTGGTCTTAACATTTTGTTTATTGTAAACGATGTTCTGTTGGACGGGACTTGGGAACGTTTAATATTTAGATTGTATGCAAAATTTGAGGTCCATCCCTCGATATATTTCTATTTACTCTAAATCAGTATTATGGTGATAATGATGTGTTGATTTATATGAATTCTAGTTCGTTAGTAAACCCCTGATTCGTCAACTATTTAACTATTGCTGATGTTTTAAATATTTTAAAATCAGAGGACTATTGCTGATGTTTTAAATATTTTAAAATCAGAGGAATATGTGTTGATACCCTCATATCAGTCAACGTCAACACTACACAAACCGTGTTATTTCAAGGACCAACATTATTATTGTAGATCTTTATTTCAAAAATCGCTTGCGCCCAGGTATCTTCAGGTGAATACACGGAGAAAGCCCACATTTCAATAACACCCCAGTATTGTGAGAAAGTATTTTGATTTGACCAATAAACCATTAAACCCCATTTTCTTTATCTGAAGACGTAGAAATGAAATTGCAAAATTTATTTTCGGCAGTTATTTAAAGACCCTCCCTCTTAACGTATCCTTCCTGTATTGCCCATAAAACAATTAACCATTCATTAATAATCTAAATGATTAATTTCCCATTTGCTAATTATCTGAATCAGCATTATTCAATTAAAAATCTTCTGAAAACGACTTGTCTGACCAATATATTGTGTGCAATAATTTAGTGGTGCTTGTAACACTCATACATGGTTTTAGGCTTATAACATACCAGCGTTAAGTAAATACTTATATGATAACTTCAAAGAACATCTTAAGTATTGGGGATGCGGTTTTGTTCTCAATATAGTTTTTCAAGTCGCGAGTTCAAACCAAAACAAACACTGAACGCGATTGTCATTTTGCTTGTGTAAATGAAACGACTTTGTTCATGCTAAAATTGGGTTTTAATTTTGTCTCCAGATATGATTACATACTTTTGACACTCAAACCTTTTGTAATTTGTTTCTATGAATTCAGATTTCAAACGTGTTAAACATTAAAATAAAATCACACACATAAAAGTTCAATGCCCCTTCGTGTCTGATAGAATCTACTGTTAAACTCTACAAGTTATTTTCAGATAGGGTACTCAGAGGGCAGACACAGTTTGTATATGGGTGGTATCATTGTTACACCCCACCCTCTAAAAAATCATTTCAATACGTATAAGAGGAGGAAGGAAATTGGATTTAGCATCCACTCACTACGCCGTAACAGGGTTTATTCTCTTAGTTTAACTCTGAAAGGGGTTGTTTAAAATTTATAGTGGTTTTAAATGTTGCCACCAGAATGATTTTTATCCATAAATATATCACCCCACATCCACCCGTATAAATTCATCTAAATCAGTTTCAAGTGGTATTCATTAATATGAAGATCTAAATGATCAATTAGACGGAAATTCCGGATATAAATCTCGAAGTTTACCTCTATCATTTCAGTTTCTATTATATAGAATATTCACGTCCTCTCTTAACATTGAAGTGTAAGTAGTGATTAATGTAAAAGTACAAGGTACAGCCCAAATTTAATTGTATTTCGGTAAAAGTGAATTGTCCTCACATATTCTAACATTAATTAAAGGTCGGGGTGTTATTCCATCCTCGCAAAACAAAAATACTCAATACCATCCACTCGACAATAACCAGGTCAGTTCGGGACTAACATATTGGATTGGATGAAGGGATCTTTAGCAGTGGGAATAAATATATGCAGACCTATTTGTCGTATAGTACTATACACTTTAAAAAGCCGTAGGAATTATCATCAACGTTTAGCACCAATTTAACATTTTGATAAAGAACACCCATTATTATCCGATTAACTCGTACTACTTTAATCAGTGGGGTCATGCCAAGTATTAATACACACGTATCTCAAAATGAATGCAGAATGCATAAATAGACAAAACAAAAAATAATCCAATCTCAGCACATTTAATACATGCTGCAACAACCATGCTGTTGACTATTTGCCAACTATATTCAGCGTTCAGTGTTTATTTTTTCCTTCTCTCCAGAATAATTTAAGATGATGTATTAGTATATATATCTATATTGGTATATGTATATAGACACGATGCTTCAAAGATAAACCAGAAACTATCAAATTGTATATTTATGACTTAATAGGACTAGCCACCCGTGAAAAATACATATAAGATATGTATTTTACTTCAGTCATTATTTTTCAAATGAGTGCAATGGCCAATATAATTGCATATTCCTTTTGCAGTTGGTCTTTGGCAATGAGTTTCTTCTTGTCCTGGTAGCAAGATTAAATATCCAACTTATTATACAATATACAATATAAATCCTTTATGATTTAATTACACACTGGTCAAAGTTACAGTCGTTACCGACACCACACTATTATAATTGACTTTTTGTCTAAAAACAATCATCGAATTCATTTTCACGATAAATGGATTAACAAATAAATGCTGTGTATAGATGAAATCGACATGCAACCGATTGTAGTGTGTATGCTACCGAACACTGTACTCCCCTCCCCCTACTGGGGTGTCTGCCACAGGTAATAGTGCCAATGTAATGGTGTGTATATAACGGATAATAATTTGTATGGAAACAGTGTATAATAGTGTGTATAGAACGTATGATGGTGTGTATGGAAACAACGATGATGTGTATAGAACGGATGATACTGTGTATGTAAAGAACAATAGTGTGTATAGAACGGGTAGTAGTTTGTATAGTGTGTATAGAATGGACGATGGTGTGTATGAAAACAACAAAGATACGTTTTCAACGGATGATGGGTATGTAAACAATAATACTGTACATAGAATAGAACGGGTAGTAGTTTGTATGGAAATGACAATACCAACGGGTAGACGTTTGTAAGGAAACAATAATGGTGTGTATGGAAATAGTAAAGGTGTGTATGGAAACAGTAATGGTGTGTATGGAAACGGTAATGGTGAGGATGAAACCGATAACGGTGTGTATGGAAACAGTAATGGTGTGGATGAAACCGACAAAGATGCATGGGGACAGTAATGTCATGTATGAAACCGATAAAGGTATGTACGAAAAGAGTATTGGTGTGGATGAAGCCGATAAGGTAGTATATGGAAACAGTAATGGTGTGGATGAAACCGATAAGGGTGTGTATGGAAACAGTAATGGCGTGGATGAAACCGATAATAGTGTGTATGATAACAGTAATGGTGTACTTGAAACCGATAATGATGTCGAATTGGTTAATTTAAGATTAATTTGATCACCACCAACTTTTCGTTTAGTTGGAGAAAGCAGTTAAATGTGTACTTCTCGATAAATTAATGGTAATTATTTGCAATAATTACGTTAACGTCAAATCCGCGCGTTATTTTAAACGTTATGCTTGAAGATTTTCCAACTCTTAATTCATAAATAAATGTTTAACCCTGAAAGTACACCCGAGATTTACCAGTCGACCAACACGCGTACTTCCTTTATAAACAGTCTGTTAATAAATTAACTTATCACTTAAACCTTCTAATAAACTCTTCAATTTATGTTTGCACAGTCTTTTTTTTATCAAATTAATCAAGTTATTATCATGAGTTGAATTAGTTCACTAGGATTTTATAAAAAAAAAAATTATTTATAAAAGGTAATTTCGTGAACTTGAATACTTTGTTTTATTTTATTAAATTTCTTTTACATATTTTTTGATCATGATTGTTTTGCCTTGATTAGTTAATTTTGCTGTTGTTCCTTGATTAGTTCTATTAATATATAAATATATGTAGAGTTATTTTAATGTTTTTATTGGTTAGCCTTAGGAAAACGATGGTAATTCGTTAGTGGGTCGGTACAGCTAATAAAATGTTATTAAAGACATACAATAATATAACATTAACACTAACCAAGGGCAGCTTAGTAAGTCAATCATCCCACCTTTAAAATGTGCCATAAAAACAAATATTACAGATCAAGTTTCACAACACTTGTTAAACAAATTTTGAGAAAAAAAACCTGCAGCCTGAACCATTACAGCTGAACGATAAATCGTTCTTTCAAAAGAATGCGTTTATATCTAAAAGGTTGTAACGTTCTTCGATTATATCGATTAGGTGAATATTTGATGTAGAAATAATTTGAACAATGCGGAGGCGTGGTTTAACATTTCTATAGAGTCTCGCCAAGTCTTTTCACACTGCATTTGTTATATGTTTATAATTAGACTCCTTTGTGAGATGATTTGAATAACAAGAATTGTAGTCTCTTAGAAAAAAGAAATAGCTTAAAAAATCTCCATGCGATTTAAATAGTACAAATTAAGCAGTCAATGTTGTATTTACTCTTTTACAGACAGGTGGGGTGTCAGCTGCAACCTTGGTTCAAAATGCAAAGTTTTGTGTTTATGTTGAACTGTAGCTTAGTTTTATTTGTTTTGTGATGACTATAGAAACTTGTATTTACAAAATTAGAGTCTCTCTTACTCGATCTGTTGTTTCTATGTTAAAAAGAGAGTTTAGCATATATTGTACCTTAATACCTTAACTACCTTTCTTTGTGTAGTCTTTTTGTTTCATTCTTTTTAACAAGCGTTCTTTTTTGTTATCAAGTTTTTTATTTTGGTTCTACACGTGAGTAGTTAAGGCGGATCCAATCACTCTTTAAACATAAATAGGTTAATAATAGGTGTTTACTGCGAGGAATAAATATCAAAACGTTGCTGATATTTAAACAATTAAAGATGTGCGAGTTTGCGTCTGTCACCCAGACCGTTTAG